AAGGGTGGGGGGACCTGGTGAAGGGGAATTTTTCCTGGAGTGATGCCTGGGCCGAGGCTCCCCTAATTCACAGGAGAGATCCAGGGGGGTCTTGGGGATCCCCTGGATTTTTTTGGGATTTTTCTGGGGGGGGAAAGGGCCCCCCCTGTGTAGAAAGTCCGGCCAGGGGCAGGCAGGCTCACTTTGCGCTGGGCCCGAGAACCCAGGCGTCCCCGCCCGCCGCGGCTCCCGGCTCCCCCTCCTGCCCCCCACGCAGCAGCTTTGTCAGCCTGAGTATGGGGGCATTCCAGGTCTCTACTCTTTGAGCCCCTGTGGGGGTTGTGATGTCCCCCCTGGGTAGCTGGGAGTTAGGAGGGGCTCTTTTTTTTTTTTTGTGAGGCAGTCCGGACGCCTGGGTTCTGCGTGTGTGTATGTCCTGGACTCCTGGGTTCTGCGTGTGCGGCCCAGACGCTTGGGTTCTTTGTGTTTTTCAGAGACCTGGGGGCTCCCCATGTGTGTGCGTGTGCACGGGTGCGGCCTGCGCGCCTGGACTCTGCATGTGCGTGGCTCCCAGACGTCTGAGTTCTTTGTGTACCCCTTGGACGCCCAAGTTGTGTGTGTGTGTGCGCGCGCGTGCGCGCACACATCCCGGACGCCTGGGGTCTTTGTTCGTGTACCCCTCCCAGATGCCCAAGTTCTGCGTGTGTGTATGTATGCATATCCCAGATGCCTGGGCTCTTTGTGGGTTTGTGTCCCGGAGACCTGAGTTCTCCATGTAGTTGTGTGTGCGTGTGTGCAGCTCAAACATCTGAGTTCTTTGTGCATGTGTCTAGACACCCGGGTTCTGTGGGCGCGCGCATGTGTGTGTGGCGTCTGTCCCGGATGCCTGGGTTCTTTCTGTGTGTATCCCCCGTCCCCCCCAGATGGCTGGTGTGTGCGTGTGTGTGCACATGTGTGTGTATCCCGGATGCCTGGGTTCTTTGTGTGTGTGTGTGTGGCCTGGATGCCTGGGCTCTCAATGTGTATGCATGTGTGTGTCTTGGACACCTGAATTTTCTATATGCATGCATTGCACACACATGTGTAGCCATGACACTGAGCTTTTTTTTGCATGCATGTGCCCCCACCTGGGTTGCATGTGTGTGTGTCCTGGACACCAGGGTTCCCTGCTGATGTGCATGTGGCTGCCCTGTCCCGTGTGTAGGTGCGTGCATGGCAGGGTGGGGTGGGGGCACGTCTGTGTACTTGTTCATGTGTCTCAGGGGCCTGCGTGCGCCCCATGTCCCTACTGCTGTTCTGTAAGCC